TCCTCCAGTCAGGACAGGAGGCTCTTCTTTACACAGAGAGTGGTGGGGGTGTAGAACAAGCTGCCCAGCCCTGTTGTTGAAGCCGATACCCTGGCTTCTCTCCAGACACAGCTGGGTGAGCTTCTGGAATCAATTAACCACTGACTATCAAATGGGCTCAACTGGCTGATGGGTCTGCTCTTGTTTTTAACGGACAAGTGAAGGTTCATTCCCGGCTGAAAAGAGAAGAAAAGAAACACAACGTTTCGGCTGTGGAGCCCTCTTCGGGTGTCTAGGACTCCACAGCCGAAACGTTGTGTTTCTTTTCTTCTCTTTCCAGCCGGGAATGAACCTTCACTTGTTCCTTCTGCAGCCTGCGCCCGCGGACGCAGCTCCCTGCGAGAACCACTCTTGTTTCTAGTCTTTCCGTAGTGTCCTACAGAGTGGGAGGGAGGCAGGTAGGTGCTGGAAGCTGCAACGCCCTTCGTCAACACTAGATGGAGCCGCCGCGCTGCCACACCACTCCAGCCCGGCGTCATACCTCATGGCTTTTGTCCCGGTCGACGAGGGCCTCCTCTTCCCACTGGAGCTTGCCATCTGTCAATCAAACCCAATAAAAACCCTCAGTTCTGGTTCTGGGATGGGGACGGTGGTCTGCATGCCTCTCCTCGTAAGGGACTTTATGATTGTACACACCAGCGCCGTGAGACACCACATGGGCTGAACAAGCACCCGCAACTCATTTATATCTTTTTGCTTTCTTTGATAAAAAAGGCGATATTTAGTTTGTGGCAAAGGTCATTTCCACTGTAGGATTTCTCCACATCGTCTGTTCATATGGCACTGCTGTCTTTTGGGGACAATCTCTCAAAAGCTGTCTCCCCCTTTAACTGTGAAATATTCCTACATCGACGCACACAGCTACTCCCCACACAGTCTCAATGTTTCCTGACTCGCTTTCTTTGATCTTTATGTTTTACCTGTCTTACCTCTACAGTCTCACTGTCACCTGTCTCTCTCTACAATCTCAGAGTTACTGTACCTGTCTCTCTCTACAGTCTCACTGTCACCTGTCTCTCTCTAC